CATTTACCCAGCCAATACCCTCTCGATCCTGAAGATTTAGAACCTCTAGTCCTACACTTAGAGAAATATTTGCTGCTTCTGATATCAAGCACCGAAACCCCACCAAAAGGGAGGTTACACACACCTGTCTCTCGCGCAATTTCCCATCAAAGGTCCTCCTCATCGCGAGTCCATTGTACGATTTTGATTTGAAGATCCTGCTTCTCATGGAACTCAATTCTCCGGCGTGCAGCCTCTTCACGAGAGTGCATTTTACATGCCCCAAGTCGTCTCAATAGGACTGACTTCATTTGAGATGCACAACCAAACTCATCCATCATGATCTTCTGCAAATTTTGAGCTGCGCGGACATGTTCTCGCGTCATAGTGATGTTTTCGTGGTCGGCGTTCGTTTCGTTGCTTGATTTGAGGATTCCTGTAAGACCGCTGACAAATCTTGGCTTCTTGAGCGGTGTCGCGTGGTGGGGGAATCCTCTCGGGTTGGAAGAAGGTGAATGCAAGACTGCATAGTTGTTCTTATCACACAATTAGCCATGATCCGGTGAACACCTCTTTGGAGCTAGATCATTACCTTGGGATGGAGTCAAATGAAGGATGAACTCCGAAAAGAATGGTTGAGATCCAACACTATACTTGATGCTTCCTGGTTTAGCCTCCAGCTTGCCAGCTGTTAACACAACTCTCTCGGCATCTTGATGGATTTTGCGCCATAAAGCTAGTCTGAGGTCGTATGGAATGTCTGGAAATCCCCTCTTTGAAGCGGGAGCATATGGATTTAGGCATGCCGTTGTCTCCGATATTACATGGGATGGCTAGTCAGAACCAGGAGAGTCGTGGTAGAAAAGGTCGTGGCAGAAACTTGTTGATGAAGTAAGAAGTTCTTTTTGTAAACAAATCGCGATGGGTGGAGACACTTGTTTAAAAAGGGACTATTTAAAGCCTGATAAGGCGCACTACGTAGACCAATCTGGGTCACGAGGAGATATCTCCGCTAGCTTGTAGGTAAAACATTGCAAGAGTTCAGAGCTTTCACGTTCGGTATACTATTCACGCCGCCTTCCTTGAACGTCCTTGAGAAATAGAGCTCTTCTCTTTCGTCAAAATGATTGCTACTCGCTTAACTAAGTCCTCAATTTGAGGATTCATTTTATTATTGGTCATTGCGAGCTATTCCAGACAAAATTATATTTGACACACCACTAACTCCCTCTATAAACGAATGATGTGAGCCAAGTGAAGTGAGGAAGAAGATTTATGCCAAGAGTGTTCATAGTTACATCAAGCGTAATTCACAAGACATAGCACTCAAGAGAGACATTGCTGCACCACACTTCACACGGTGCTAAAGAATTTTGTATCAGCGTCCTATGTAACCCGAAGGTCGCATCTACTATGATACTTCCCCAAGTTCAAGTGCTATGCTATCAGAGAGTTATGGCCACTAGAGACTCTTTGGTCTCTCAAGTATGCCCACAGTAATTTCAAAAAGTCACTTGTGGAACTGTACAATCTTTACCTCCATTCCTTGCCCATCCACGGAATTATTCCGCTTCCACCAGTTATACCTTGATGATTCCCTGTAAACTGCACTAGCTGTTGGATGTTTGAAAGAACAAGGTTGAAATCTTGTGGTAAACGACTGGCAACCTTACCTATTGCCCCCGAATTCCCCGTTGTTCCACTTCGTGACCTCTCTATTGATTATCTTTTTCAAGCGCAAGGCGTGTTGGTACTGTTCCGTTACACACCTTTTGAAAGCTATCTCCCTGGTAGCATCTTCTTGTCCAGCGGTTTCAGTCGCAGAGTTGCCTAGGCCAGTTGCACCAGGAACGAATCTAGGCTTCATTGTGTCGGAGTTCTTGGCAAATCCTCTCGTATTCACAACGATGTATAACGTCTTTAGACCCTTGTGCCATTGCAGAAGTTGCAGCATCAGCTTCTCGATTCGATATGGACAGTTGTATCATAGCAATCTAGGGACCTGGGTGCGAATGCATGGAATGCTAGGCTTTCCGTTGTAGCGACAGACTCCACCTTCAACTCCGGCTCTACGCTTACCAACATCCAGGACGGCTTGAGTGGATTTTCTTCGGAGCCTAGCAGTCCATATTCGGTCGTGTCGTTAGGGCCGGCTGGAACCCAGACTGTCTGTCGTGATACAACAAGCTCATAGATGGGTTTGAAGATCTCGAAGAGGTCGCCAACGAAGAGGATATTTTGGGCATCGAGGACTTCTTGCTGAGCAACCTGCAATGTCTTGCTGAGAGCATTGGTACCTGCCATGTCGGTTTGAAAGAAGGTAGCAGCAAGCTCTGCGACACTTTCTATGCATCAATCAACTTCAAGTAATATCAATCAACTTTGAATAGCACCTACCCTTATCTGGTGCAATCTTGAGGATGAATTAATTGGCATAGAGATTTTCAAACAAGTGGGTCTGAAAGTTTGTAAGTTAGGAAGCTGTTCTCGATAGTTCTTCGATAGTTCTTTGAATCATGTAAGCACGAGTATCAACCAAAACTGACCTTCAGATATTCATTGCCTTCAGACAAGCTTGTTCTGGCCGGAACGACTCGTGTCTTGTCCTTGAGAGAATCTTTCCACATGAGAACGCGAACGTCGAAAGGGATGTCGTGAAAAGTGAGCTTCTTTGGAGCCGCGTCTTTCTTCTGTTCGGTGTTTGAGATTGCGGAGCTGTCTGCTGTAGCAGATGCTACTGTGTCTTGCTGCGATGGAATCATGGTGCTGGGATAGGGGATTTGGTTTTCGAGATACAGGGTGCGTAGTGGGATGACTCGACTTCATTCTCAAAAGAAGTCGAAGTCGTGTTTGCTTTCCAAGCCCAGGCTGAAACGCGTTTGTAAAGTAGAAGCAGGTAGTCATTGTTGATTGTGGACTAAGCGAGGCTAGCTCGAAATCGAAGATTATCCGACCACCCGACACCGACATGAGTATATTGAATGTAATGTGACAAACTCACTTATATCATGCTTACTTCAAAGTAGGCTTCTATTCATTGTAAAGCACGATTTATAAATCAAAACCATGTGAATGTAATTCAGCGTGATATGTATTCCATTGTCTATAGTCCTTCCTATCAAGAAGGATATTGCCATACCGAAGCTTTGTAGGGGCTGCTCGCCAATGCAGCACGATACATAGTATGTAAAAATAACTCTGGTCACTTCTGGTACCAAGGCAGTGTCGTGGAAAAATAAACCATCGTTAGTAGGAGCATTTCCCAGCACAACAATTTCCTTGCAAGTTCTCGCTCCTGCTGCTCTACGCCCACGAGACAATCTCGATCTTCGGACATAGCGAAGACTTATTTTCGTCTTGGTAGCTTTGCATAGTGCTCCTTGCTTTGAGTGCTTCCTGAAGGCTGACAACGTCGAAGGTGCTTAGAGTCTTTCTCTGCTTCCTTTCTGTTCCAGTTCCCTCATAGACCGTATCGATCCTGCAAACGAATTTCTTGAATCGAGAAGATTGTGACTGTCCTTTTCTACCCGTCTGATCATAGTCAACGACTAAATATATGATCTTGAGATGTGGCATCGTCAATATTGCCCTGTAAAAGTCCTTTCTAATCTCATCATCTGTACTATGGGGGAGGCGAAGAATGCTCCGTAGCGAGAATGCAATATTTTCCACCGTTCCCTGAGGATCCCACGTGACGGGAGGCTCTCCCAATCTTAATCTGTGTGCCTTTTCCCAGAAAGCCCAACGTTCTTTATTAGACCTTTCTTCCCTCCAAAGCTTGGTGGCATGCGCGAACAGACTTTCTAGAGCCTCAGAATCCTCAATAAGTGGCTTGGTGAATGAAAATACATCTGCAATGAAGAAGATACTCTTGGGATTTTCGATTGCGTGCCTGATTGGTTGAGTGCTGAAGAGGAATTGCAAGAAATGTGGCGAATCCTTGATCTCAGGAGCAAAGAAGACGATCGCCAAGTCCACATATAAATATCTTGCTGGCACTATGCTGCCTCTAAAGCTGTTTACTATGTTGACAGATGATTCGTGGGTACCGGCTCCAGGTATGGCGATGGTATCAGTATCAATACCTTCTGCTAATGTTGCGTCAGCATTGGCAACTCTGGACTCGTCTTGCAAAGCCCTTTGGAACAAGGCAAGCCTGATATCGTAGGGAATGTTATAGAACTCGATTGATTGCGCCATTGTAGCTGTTTCCATCTCAGGTCCTGACTTTCGAGTCGCTTCGGTATGGCAGCTTTAAGTGGAGATATTGCAGTTCGCTCGCTGAATTTGGAGGAATTCGCTGTTGTACTGGCAATTCCTTTGATATCAATGCGCAATGGGGGTGGATAATGGATGAGGAAGTCGAGCTTGAGAGAATTTTGAATGTAAGGTCAAAGTGAAGGAGTGCTCTTTAAATGTCCAATGTGAATATCGACTGACTAGAGCGCTAATCAGAATCTTAGACTGAGATTTTGAAGCTCGAACTTTTAAATCGAACTAGCTAACAGGAGTAGGCTGCTCCCGTCTTTCGCACAAGGCGAGAAAGGCCTAGCCTCGTTTACCTTGCGACGGACCCAAACTGTACCACTCAAGACAAAAATGACCCAGGGCAATACTAGCTTATGGCGTGGATTAGTCTCTTGTCATCAAATTATTTTCGAATGAAAATCATCCCAGAGCTTGAATTTGTTGTATAATTCGGATATCTAGACGTTTGAAACATGTGAGCCGTAGAGAAGCAGCTCGAGCTATCTAAAGAATTAAGTAGTATTCGCAGACCCAGTCAGAGACCAGACTCCTTGTATTGTGATCGTGTAGCAAAATGAAAAAAAATTCAGTCAATTGCTTTCCACTCTTCCTGTATCTGACTATGAACATCAAGTCTCCGTTGGTACTCTGTAGTCAGCTGCTCCAGAGGCGCATTTCGCCACACATTAAGATCGAGTGGAGGTTCGTATCGACTGTTCGCAGCATTGTGATGTGCCATGGCAGCACTCGCGCCGCTGTGGGTGAGGTAACCCATACCAACCTATCAACTAAATCAGCATCTTGAAGTCATCACCAGAAAATTAAGACCTACTGTAGAATTGCCATATCTATACCCGTGGTCAGTCGCAGCAGCCTCAGCAACACTTCCCCCAACCCCAGAAATAATTGCGTTCTGCTGAGCGTTCAATTGCTGTGCCAGCCTAATGCTGCCCATCTGGATATTCATCTGTGTCTCGGCATTGATCCTCGCAGTGTGTCCCTTGACCAGCTCACCCAGAGGCTTCAGCTCTTCTATACTCCTCCATATCCGGGCGTACACTTCTTCTCTCTTGTGGTGATACTGAGCATATGATGCAAAGTTGCTAGTCTCGCAGGCAGTCCGAAGACGCCGCTTGCACTGCTTGGACCAGGTACTGCAGCGATGACCTTCTGGATTATCAAACGTGAGATGTGTGAGGTCGTTGCTCAAGAGACTCTCTAATGGTGTGCCTTTGACGGAATAAAGATGGCATTCTTCGCACATAAGAAGAGTCGCATCGTTGGGATCATTTGGGTCGCCAGCGACATGACCAAACCACTTCCTTCCATTGACCGGCTTGAAGCGCCTAAGTTCTGAGCCACAAGGTTTTGGTAACTCAGCAATCTTCTTTATTTCGGTGATGGCAACTGTGAAATCGTTTCCGGCAAAGTGTCCATATCTCAAAAGATTTCTGATATAGTTTCCCCTCCAGAAAGTTGTATTCTCATAGTCCATCGGATCCCAACTCTCGGATACCGTCATATCTTTGGATGGCGATAGGTAGCATTGACGAATCATTCCAGGTTTCAACTCTCTCGTGATTGGAACGAATAAGTGCTTGGCTTCTAGCACAGCGACATTTGTTCGGTAGCAGCGTGGGCAGCACTCGATGTTTGGATGATCTCTGAAGTGGTACCAAGTTTGCCAATTTTCTCCCATGGAAGGCATGTCTGCTTCATCAGTGCCAGCAATTGAAGGGCACAATGGCAGAGAGTGATGGGCCTGAATGGGATCAAGCCAAAGGCTGAAGTCAGTGGCATTCCTTGCAGTGGTCATTGCGTATTTGGAAAAGGGACTCGCCAAGTCACAACAGAGAGTTCCTTTCTGAGGTTCTTCCAGCTCGAAGGCATAACCGAAATACTTCTCCGCAGGAGTCCCTGCGACGTCATTGTAGAAGCAAGTGGAGCAGAACACACCACTATTGTCGGCCACAGACCGGTAGGCGTATGAAAGACCTGCTCCGGCCGGGAACATCGCATTCCCTTCTCCAGCACAAGGAGCAAAACTGAGTTTCTTGTTCATGGCAGCTGCAACATGAGCGAAATCGGGTCGAGCTTTATTGAGATCTGCCAAAAGTGTTCGGTTACAGAACCCGCTATATCCCAGGTCGCAACCCCATTCCATGTGAGGCTCTGGCATATGCTGCTTCGTGAAGTTCCTTTGGAACGGCGTACCGACGATGAAGCATTCATAGCAACTATTGCAGAAAGCCAAAGAATCGATAGCTTTGCATGTATAGTATGGTCCAGTCGCAGATCCTCCTTGACACGCACCGAGGTCTGCATCAAGCCTGCAGTATTCGACGAACGGTGTGATTGACCTCTGCGGAATACACTGATTGATAACGGTACTTCTTATTCGAGGAAAGGCTAAAGCACACCCACCGATCCTTTCGAAAGAGATCTGGGGATGGGTCTTGTCTGCAGGCCGTTCATCTTTCGGTCGTATAGTAAAACAACTTGCTAGATGTGGATGCGGTGCCAGAACCGTCAAGAAGCAGTACTCGCAGACGAGTACGATAGATGCTGGAGGAACTGGCATGGAGTGAGACTGCAGAACTATGGTATTCAATTCGTAGAATGGAACCACATCGCTTAGGACCTCTTCGAATAGGGGGCACTTCGTTTTCCAAGGACTAGCTGAGGTTGGAGATATTGCAGAGCTTGTTTGATATTGCTGTGGTATATTTGTATGTGGCCCATTTTGTGAGTTTTGCGATTGGGCCACGCCTCCAATGTCAAGTCCTCGATACTGTGCCTCGAGCTGTTGAACTGGATCAGAACTAGGCGGTTTAGTGGGATCTAGAGGACCGGCAGTTGGGATTTCTGGGGCGGTGGAGGAAAAATAATGGGCTCCTGAGACATTCTGAGGCGCGGCTGGCGGATAGCCTGATGCAGGAGTTGGTAGAGGCGTAGGCGGTTGATTTGAGTCTTGGTAAAGAGGATATTGGTGTGGTTGTTGAGTCGGTGGCTGCTGGTAGGTGGGTTGGTATTCAGGAACTGGCTGCCGATGAGCAGAGCCGGGAGTCTGAGCAGGGCTAGATGTTGATGGCGGCGGTGGGTATGACTGCGGAGGTGGGAAATATTGTTGTTGATTCTGGGGTTGGTAACCCGTTTGTGTCTGCGTTTGTCCGGGATATCCATAAGCAGCAGTCGGAGAAGAATACTGGTGCTGTGGTGGTGGAGATGGGTAAGCCTGCTGTCCATAAGCAAGATATTGAGTTTTCTGAGGAGGCTGTTGAAGAGGAGCATAAAATTGCTGCTGGTTGTTTCCATACAATTGTGTGTTTGCAGGCTGTTGGTGCGTTCCGCTGGAAATCTGATTGACTTGTTGCTGGACATCCTTCACAGCAGCCTTCACCTGCTTTCGAGCTTTTTTGAACAAATCCATGGTGTAGATATCAGATATACCGGCCCAAATCTAAAGCGTACCAAAATCATGAGCACCGGATTTTGAGATGGTATTGGGAAATTG